GTTATGAATCTGGTGTCCTGTATAGGGGCATAACAATATTTAGGACAGTTAGCTCTTCTTGCTTGCGTTGATCCCCTTTACCATTATGTACAGTGCTGTCTCTTCTGATCTTTGTTGGTTTAAAGTCTGTTTTATCAGAGACCTAGGATTGCAACCCTGCTTTTTTTTGGTCTTCCATTTTCTTGGTAAAATTTTCCATCCTTTATTTTGGAGCCTATGTGTGTCTCTGCACATGTGACTGGGGTATCCAAATAAGCACACCAATGGTTATCTTTATCAATTTGCCAGCCTAGGGTTTTATTGGAATTTTTAGCCCATTTTACATTACAGGTTTATATCGGTTACATGTAAATGATGTTTTTGATGCTAGCCGGGGGTTAATTTGCCCCTTAGTGATGCAGTTCTTCACACCATCGTCTTCACAGCGTCGATGGTCTTTACAATTTGGTATTTTTCTTGCAGTGGCTGGTAACCGGTTGTTTCCTCTTTCCATGCTTATTGCTCTCCTCTATGGCAACGCTCTTTGTAAGGCATGGCCCTGGCTGCCTGACAAAATCCTCAGCATTTCTTTTTGTCACTAAAGATTTGTATTGTCTTCCGCTTATGATAGCTTAGTTTCGGCTGGATGAAAATTCTGTGTTGAAAATTCTTTTCTTTAACGATGCTGAATATTGGCCCCCAAGTCTCTTCTGGCTTGTAGGTTCGCCGAGAATCCTTGTTAGTTGGGGCTTTTTTGTGGGTCCCGACTGCCCTCTGGCTGCCCTTAACATTTTTTCCTTCATTTTAACTTTGGTGAATCTGATGATTATGTGTCTTGGGGTCGTTTTTCTTGAGGAGTATCTTTGTGGTGTTCTCTGTATTTCTGAATTTGAATGTTGGCCTGCCTTGCTAGATTGGGGAATTGCCCCGGATAATATCCTGAGGAGTGTTTTCCAACTTGGTTCCATTCTCACCATCACTTTCAGGTACAACAATCAAACATAGATTTGGTCTTTTCACATAGTCTCATATTTCTTGGAGGCTTCGTTCATTTCTTTTCAGTCTTTCTTCTCTAATCTTGTCTTCTTGCTTTATTTCATTGAGTTGATCTTCAATCTCTGATATCCTTTCTTCCACTTGATCGATTTCTTCTCTAATCTTGTCTTCTTGCTTTATTTCATTGAGTTGATCTTCAATCTCTGATATCCTTTCTTCCACTTGATCGATTCGGCTATTGGTACTTGTGTATGCTTCACGAAGTCCTTGTGCTGTGTATTTCAGCTCCATCAGGTCATTTATGTTCTTCTCTAAACTGGTTATTCTAGTTAGCAATTCATCTAACCTTTTTTCAAGGTTCTTAGCTTCCTTGCATTGGGTTAGAACATGCTCCTTTAGCTTGGAGGAGTTTATTACCCACCTTCGGAAGTCTACTTCTGTCAATTTGTCAAACTCATTCTCCATCCAGTTTTGTTCCCTTGAGGAGTTGTGATCCTTTGAAGGAGAAGAGGTCTTCTAGTTTTTGGGATTTTCAGCCATTTTGCACTGGTTTCTCCCCATCTTCATGGATTTATCTACCTTTGGTCTTTGACCTTCGGAGGGGGTCTCTGAGTGGACGTCCTTTTTGTCGATACTGATACTATTCCTTTCTGTTTATTAGTTTTCCTTCTAACAGTCTGGTCCCCCTGCTGCAGATCTGCTGGAGTTTGCTGGAGATCCGCTCCAGACCCTGTTTGCCTGGATATCACCGGTGGAGGCTGCAGAACCACAAACATTGCTGCCTGTTCCTTCCTGTGGAAGCTTCATCCCAGAGGGGCACCTGCCAGATGCCAGCCAGAGCTCTCCTGTATGAGTTGTCTGTCGGCCCCTACTGGGAGGTGTCTCCCAGTCAGGCTACACGGGGGTCAGGGACCCACTTGAGGAGGGAGGCTGTCCCTTATCGGAGCTCAAACACTGTGCTGGGAGATCCGCTGCTCTCTTCAGAGCTGCCAGGTAGGGAAACTTAAGTCTGCTGAAGGTGCACCCACAACCGCTCCTTCCCCCAGGTTCTCTGTCCCAGGGAGGTGGAGGTTTTATCTCTAAGCCTCGGACTGGGGCTGCTGCCTTTTTTTCAGAGATGCCCTGCCCAGAGAGGAGGGAATCTAGAGAGGCAGTCTGGCTGCAGAGGCCGTGCTGGGCTGCAGTGGGCTCTACCCAGTTTGAACTTCCTGGTGGCTTTGTTTATACTATGAGGGTAAAACTGCCTGAGTACTCTAGCCTCAGCAATGGTGGATGTCCCTCTGAATTACTTTTTATAAGTGTTTTATCTCTATTATCTCTATTAAATATTTATCTCTATTATCTCTATTAAAAATAAATTTAGGCCAGGTGTGGTGGCTCCATGCCTGTAATTCCAGCACTTTGGGAGGCCGAGGCAGGCAGATCACTTGACACCAGGAGTTTAAGACCAGACTGGCCAACAGGGCAAAACCCCGTCTTTACTAAAAATACAAAAATTACTCATGTGTGCTGGTGCATGACTGTAATCCCAGATACTTGGGAGGCTGAGGCACAAGAAGTGATTGAACCTGGGAGGTGGAGGTTGCAGTGAGCCGAGATTGCACCACTGCACTCGGCCTGGCTGATAATACGAGACTCTGTCTCAAAAAATAAAATAAAATAAATTTAAAGTCAACACACCTCATCAAATACACATATATTAATAGCATACTGTGGTTACAAAGGAAAGACTTCAAACAGCATACAAAATTTAGAGAAATCACCGAGGAAGGCAATTTAACAAAGATTACTTTAATAAAAGTTAAAGTTTTACATTTAAAATATTTTATGACAGTATACATTTGCATTAGTAATAATGACTGAAAGATGAAGGAAATAAATCAGAATCAAACAAAATACCTTATACCCTCACACATTATATAATTATTTTAAGGTACTCAAAGCTTATTTGTGTAAATATCAAAGCCAGGTTTGCTTTATACTTTTTTCCTTTCAAATGGTAGGGGGAAAAGAATCACACTAGTTTCAGCTAACTTCAACATTATATCATCTTTATCATTTCTTACTGCTAGTTTCAAAAGAAATAAAGCATTCTGGATTTTTTTTTTTTTTTCTCACATGGCAGAGTTCTGAAAAGAGGGAGAAAACAACTCCTTTTACTTCTGTTCTGTACTTGTTTTTCATGAACTTGCTTTGAACTTTTAAATTTATCATCCCAATTTTCATTAAAAAGCAAAGTGAGTCACCATCTCCTGTACAGAATTAGAGCTATGGATAATGGAAAAATAATTTCCAGGTGAAATGAACACTAGAAGGAGGTGAAAACTCCTACATCCTAAAAAAGATTTGGGAGTTTTTCCCAAGCCAAAAGGAAACATAAAAGCCTAACAAATGGTTTACATAAAACATGGCAGAAAGTACATAGGTGCTGGTTAGTATCATCTGAAAAGACTGGATGAGACAGGTTCATAATTCTTCCCTTTGAAGGAATTATTTTTTTAACCCAACGACCTTCTCATCCAATTATATCTAAAGCTTCCCAGAAATCAAAAGCATGAAGAAAAATCGTAATGGATCTTTCCAGCATTTAAAGATCATCAAAAGCAGTGGTTTCTATTATCGTAAAGACTTTCCAGCATTGGAGAAATTAATCTAATGATCACTGTTGCCCAGTGTTTGACATCTACATCAACAAACCAAGCAGCACCCAGAAGCTTGCCTTTTATTCCCCATGAGCTCATTACATCTGATTCATCTCAGGAGTGAGCATCCAAAGGTGGGTGGGACAGGTTTCCACTGGGACCAGAAAGGGCCCATCTCTGCTTATCTCAAGTTTAAAGAATTCCAAAAAGTGATCAGGTTGTAACCTGGGCTTCTTTTCTCTGAAGGAGAACTGAATGAGCTCAATTTACTCTTGACACATTTCCAAGGCAGCTCTCTAAACCTAATGAGCCTTAGAACGTAGCCCAGCAGCAAAACTGATTATTACAGGGTTATAAAGTCATTCACAAATATTCACTGACCACCTACTAAGTGTTAAACACTCTGCTCAGGGCTAGGGATTTCCAGGCAAACAAGATCCAGTTGCTCTATCAAATCTGCACAAAATAAAAATAAGATTTGAAAACGTGAAAGTTTTGTGGACTTCACTGTGGTAGACTTCACTGAGTTCCTCCAGTTCAAGATACATCCCTTCCCACCCCCATTCTTTCTCAAATAGTGTTCCCTGCCTGGTAGACTCTCTTTTTCTCTTGCTAACTCCTACTCATCCTACAGAACTCAGACTAAATGTCACTTCCTGTCCTGACCCTCCCAGGTTAGATTCCATGCCCCTGTTATATGCTTCTAACAGCACCCTAGTCTTCCTTATTAGGGATGTTTTGCTTCTAACCATAACTGCTTCTCTAATGGTCTGTTCTCCCTGCTATTCTGTGCCACCCACATGGTCAGAATCACTGTCTGTTTTGTTCTAGCCTCTGCCATCCACAGTGCTCAGTATACAGCTGGCACTCAAAAACAATTTTCTATCTAAAATAATATACGGTCACTGTCTAATAAGGAAAAATAGCCAACTTAAGTTTATTGCTAAGATAAGCAGTTTCTGAACTTCAAGTGATAGTTTTCGACTCTCTGAAATTGCTAACACATGTATTCACAGATTTTTTCATTTAAAATGGCTCATCATAAGCTCTGTCCCTCTATAAGCTACAAACTTCAAAGAGCATTATTTAACATATCTTCCAGATATTCAACAATGTTTCGTTCTGTTTAATTTTAAACTAAGTGGTTTTTTATTAGATTCAAAAGCTTCTTAATCAAAATTAAATCTCCTTTGAAACACTGTCCCTCAAAATAAGAACTGGTATGAAGTTATATTCACCTTAGCGGGGTCATATCTGCTGAGGGTTTCCAAGAGTTTTGGAATCTGTATTCTTGTCTCTTCTTCACAGAAGAAAATCCAAGACGAATTTCTGCTGTATGTTACAGAAAAGCTGAGCAAAAGAAACAAGTTTCAGTAATCACTTCTGTAAAATGAGTTAATAATAAGGTTTAAAACTGATCAGTGGGAAATGAATGAAGGGTACACAGAATGGCGTATGTAGTTTTTTTCTCTATATTTTTCTTCAGCTTATAGAAAAGCCAGATGCTAATGGTTTAAAAAACAGCTGGAGTTCTTAAAGCTAATTCTCTCCATAACAACACTAGTTCAGGGGATAAATAATTTTCAAATATCAACTTGAAGCATTTTATCTTTTAAGAAAAAGCATACGTAAGGCAAGGTGCAGTGGCTCATGCCTGTAATCCCAGCACTTTGGGAGGCCAAGGCGGATGGATCACAAAGTCAAGAGATCAAGGGCATCCTGGCCAACATGGTAAAACTCGTCTCTACTAAAAATACAAAAATTAACTGGGCATGGTGGCGGGCATCTGTAGTCCCAGCTACTCAGGAGGCTGAGGCAGGAGAATCGCTTGAACCCACGAGGCGGAGCTTGCAGTAAGCCGAGATCACGCCACTGTACTCCACCCTGGTGATGAAGCGAGACTCCGTCTTAAAAAAAAAAAAAAACAAAAAACAAAAAGCTACTCATGATTAAGAACCAATCATCAAGAAATTTGGTTAAGGTAATAATCATAAAAAGTAAAACTCAAATTTATTTCACTTACTGACTGAGGCAAACCACATCCTCTTAACAAAAAGACTAGGGGCATAAAAGTGTTCGGGTAGGAACGTCAGTCATCTACAGGTGAGTTAAACAAACGTACTGCGGTAACAATGGAAGTATGGTCCATGCACCTTCTTGTTTAGCCAGCTGATGAAGGAGGAGGACACTGGGGAGCTCCTGAAAAAAACAATGATCAAAGAAGATAAGTATGAATTGATCACTCCAAAAAAAGTTAAAAAAAAAAAGAAGAAGAAAAGAAAAAAGAAAAAAAGAAAAGGCTTAGCTTAAAATGCAGCTATTTCTAGAGACCTGACATGGTACTCTTCAAACCACTTCTTTTTCCTCATTTTCTCCAGGAGCTACTGGGAATGAAGTATTTGGCTGAATCCATGCAACCTCTGCACTCTGTGCCACCCACGCACCCAAATAGGGCTCAAGACCTACGAGGAGGGTCTTCCATGACTTGAAGCCAACCTGAAGTCTGTGAAGGTGACTTGAAGGGAAGAGCCTGGGGGAAAGTCAGGGATAACTCAGAGGCACAGAAGCAGTTTTTTATTTTATATACAACATACGGAACATGTGAAAAGGAAAACCCTTTGGCTAAACTAGAGGATACAATATTTGATCTACCTCATGTGCAAAAATTACTTTTTAAAGTTCTCTAAACACATTATAACATCCTGGTAACAAGTTTTGGTCTAGAAACATAATCCTTAATTACTCAGGCAATAATAGGAATAGCATAATAATGGAATTGACAAATTTATAAGCATAGGAGGAACTAAAATTCAGAAATAAGGCACAACTGTGCTTAAATTATGTACACATATATAGAAATTAATATTTTCAAGGCTACGAGTGTTAGCTTTGAAGTAAAACACTATTCGCTATATTTCAAGTTGTTACAAAAGCCAAAAGTCAAAAATTTCATATCTGATATGCTTAAACCTCCTCCCCCAACAAACTTTATTATATCCTGTGTTTTATACTAGCTATAAAACTATATTCCTAGTAACCATTACAGACAAAAGAATTCAAGAAGTACCTAAGTATCTGAAATATTACTGCACTGATGTGGATTTCACAGCAGTCTTAAAGTTCAGATATGTATTATTTAAGAAGAGAATAGTCTTTAACATAAATCTTTGGAATTAAATTTCAAGTAAATCTCATTTATTTTATATAATATTCATTTCAAATTCCATGTACAAATATGAAATGCAAAAAACAGTAATCACAGGTCAAATAAGACAAACAATGTGGTATGTTAGAAAGAGTAAACCTTAAGGCTGAATTAGCAGTTACCCAATATAAATAATTCAGGGCTTTCCTACAGTTACTTCTGAATTATGCAGTAATTTTCATTGTATTTTAAAAATTCCAGCAAATATATATATTCATGAAGGATTACATAAGAGCAGAAAATCATGTGTAAAGAAACTAATGATGTTACTATTTGCATAAAACTTTGGAATTATGGGTAAATGCAAATGTGAGCTAGACAAGAAAAATATAGCAAATACTTTTTAAAGTTTTACATAAAAGTATCTAATGAGTTATGTATCAATTAAAATTATGCTGAAAACTTTATAGCAATGGAAATGTCCTTATGTTTAATAGAAAAAAATCAGACATGATTCCAAGAATAAAACAAAATCCTAAATGAACAGAGAGTAGAGGAACCAGAAAGTGAAAATATTTGTGTCAAGATGATATAATAATGAGATATATGCTTTAAAAATCCTTCAATTACAACATAGCTAAGGTTTTTAAAAATTGAAGGAAAATGAATGCACCTCAAAAATTTACTTCCAAAGAAGTATTATACTTCCTAGTTACAGGCTATATATAACGTAACATCAACAGCTATTAACTGAGAAAAGGCTTCCTTTGATACCTAGACAGCAACCTCAGCAGAAAGGCTACGAGGACACTTTCCTGGGAGAGATTAGAAGACAAGCTTATGAATAACTCTACCACAACATAAAATGATGGAGGGAAAGGTTTAGGTAGTGCAAACAAGGAATCACATCCTAGACTGAAATAAACTCTGGATTATCAGTAGATTAAAGTCACTCATAGCTCCATTATATTTGTTTACTAAATCATATACTAGATTTCATATTTGCTTCAGTTTGTGAACACAAGATCAAATTACCTGTCTCTCTGTTTCTCCATATAACAATATTTCAAAAGCTAGCACGCCTTGTTACTAACACTCTCCAAAGGTGAGTACTCAAAAATACAAAGTAGGTGCTACCTTGGCACTCAGAAACCTGCTCCTGATTAACTCTTGATTAAGCCAAGGTCATCTTAATTATAAATAAATTTTAATCTACTAATCCCAAAAAATGCCCAAGAGCTTTTATTCTTGTCATATACATACATATACACATAAAATGTATATATGAATGCACACAGAGACCCAAACAGACATAATATTACACTTAGATGTAGTAGCACCTTAAAGGTAATTATCAAAAAGGGTGCAATAAAATTTTCTATCAAATGATCTTATCTCAGTTCCTACCACTAAGGATTATAATAATTTATGTTCCATCTATCGCCATCACAAGATTTACACCTCCTTAAAGGTAGTGTCACTAAATGATACCATTTTTAGATTCAAAGCAAGTTTTTATTTTTATTTTTGGAGACAGAGTCTCGCTCTTGTCACCCAGGCACAATCTCGACTCACTGCAACCTCTGCCTACCAGGTTCAAGTGATTCTCCTGCCTCAGCCTCCTGAGTAGCTGGGATTGCAGGGGTGCACCACCACGCCTGGCTAATTTTTGTGTTATTAATAGAGACAGGGTTTCACCGTATTGGCCAGGCTGGTCTCGAACTCCTGATTTCAGGTGATCCACCGGCCACAGCTTCCCAAAATGCTGGCATTACAGGCATGAGCCACCGTGCCCTGGCTCAAAGCAGGTTTTTAAATAAATAACTGGATGAATAACTAAAAAACAGTTTTCAAATTAAAATTCAAGGGGAAAATAAGAAAATGTTCTATCAACATTACCAAGAGTTGTCTGGAATAAAGACATAGTAAAGGCATTCATGCATGCAACAACTGTCGTCAATCTAAATGATGCGTAATCATGCTACTATTTCAAACCTAAAAGGTAATTCAAAATTCTCTCGATAATGAGATAATGCCCTAACAGGCAGACATAAAGGAGCTAAAAATACGAATGATCAAATATGGAAAATGACAGAAAAGGGAAGGAAAATGAAAAGGCTGATTGCAATAATTTAAACTTTAATGTCAACTGTATTTATCTCTTTGAATCAAAGTCTGCCTTTATCAGCATCCACTGGTATCATAATCACTTTGAAGACAGAAAGCCTAGTGAACTTTCAGTCTACTTCCTTGGAACATATTTGTTATCAAGTCATGAATTTATATTTAAAACAGCTAATAATTATTGAGAGCAAACAAATTTAAAACCAACATTCTAATTCATTAGTTGGTTCTTATGCATATTCATCATCCTCATTTGGGAAAGGGATTTGATTCCAATATCACAGCTGAGTATTCTCACAATATTTTTTAGAATGGAGAAGGGCCATTACTCTTGATATGGAGGGGAAATCATTAAAGATTCATATCTAGAATTGTTAATAGTATGAATGAAAAAACTAACATTTGAACATGGATTAAAATAGATGAATATATAAAATAGCATAAATAACCTTAATTATTCAGCAGATTTGGTTTTGAACCATTTTAGTTTTTCTGCATGTCTGGAAATAATTCAACAATTAAACTACAAGCTGCTCGTCTTCCCCTTGTCAACAGACTATCTGCCAGTATTTGTCGTTTGTCCTTAACTTTTCCTCTAAACCTAGAAGTACATGGGTTTATGGTCTCATTCAGTTTTATTATTCAGACTACATGCTAAATTAGAAAGTAACATCAGTACATTGGTTCAGTATTAGGCAAAGCTTCTAAAAAACTGAACTTTTAAGACTGATTCCATTTCAACTGCATGTCTGAATTCCAACTATTACATCATTCTAAGGCATTGAACTGAGCTTTTAGAATAACAAATAAATCATGGTAAAAATTAACATCTGTTTATTGTTACAGTTTCTTCTGTAAGAGGTAGGTATGTCTTATGAGGATAACAGAGATCTGTAACATGCTATTTGCAACATGTATCAGACAGATTTACTAGCCTTTAGAGATCCAGTATTCATTTATGGCCCCCAGCAGATTATATGTGATGTTATAACAACATACCTTCTAGGAATCTGAGACTGTATTACAAAAAAACAAAAGATTTCTCTGGATACCTGTCTGAATCATTAAATGTCCTTTCCTAACAAGAAAAAATATTACCTCATTATTTAGAAATTTTTATTTTTATGAACAATTTACTTTGAAATGCATTACTAAGTTTATTTTATAGCTCATACAAATCTATTTCAACTAATAATTCATTCGCTCACAAAAAGCTGTAAAGCTCAGTATTTAAGGATCTGATTTTTGGAGCCAAATTCCTTCCTCTGAACCCTGGCTCTATTCTGAGCCAAGCAACTTGAGTGAGTTTCTTACCCTAGTTGTGGCTCTGCCACCTCGTTCTGTCATATATTGAGATGATAATGGCAAAGGGGAGCAAGTGAGTTAATACATGCCAGGCACTTGGCATGTGGTAAGCATGTGATGACTATTAACAATATCATCAATTTTGCAATATTTTTTGAGCAACTACTACGTACCAGGTACTGTTCTAGGAATACAGTAAACAGCTGTGATAAGACACGCAGAGTCCCTGCCCTCTTGGATCTCACGTTCTCGTGAGGGAGACAGGCAACAAGCAAACAAATCTACAATATAATGTCAGGGATAGAAGTCATAACGACAGAGCCATATGAAGGGACAGACTGAACAGGACCCTGTTTACCAATCGACACTGGTCTGCCGCATGAGGGATCATGGCCCCACCTGCGTGTCAGGAGGAAGGCAGAGAGAATAAGCTTTGGATCCCCTCAGAACTGAGGTATAGGACTTACTCCACTATTTTATTCATCTCTCTAAGCCTCAGTGTCCCCTCTGCAAAATGGCAAGAATAACAGCAACTAATTCATAGAGTTCAATGAGCTGATGCTTGAAAACAGCATAGCATACTGTACCAATATGAGCACTAAGTAAAATGATGATGGGCACTCAA